TCAGTTGTACAACTAGTTACTAAGGGATCAGAGATACCAACAACCCAACTCCTTCTTTTTTTTTTTTTGAGACAGAGATCCAAGCTGTCCCCCTGGGTACAGTGCTGTGGCATCACAGCTCACAGCAACCTCCAACTCTTGGGCTCAAGCAAGTCTCCTGCCTCAGCCTCCCAAGTAGCTGGGACCACAGGTGCCCGCCACAATGCCTGGCTATTTTTGGTTGCAGCCATCATTGTTGTTTGGTGGGCCCAGACTGGATTAGAACCTGCCACCTTAGGTGTATGTGGCTGGCGCCTTAGCCACTTGAGCCACAGGCGCTGAGCCACAACTCTTTAAATTCAACAAATGACCACAAGTGTGATCAATTGGATGGGAAACAGTCCACTTCTCATTGTTGACAGCCTTCTGAGCAAGCTGAGATTTGGATAGTGGGTCATTCACATGATAGCCCCAATGAATACACTGATGATGGGTTTGGAGAAGAAGGGCTCCAGGAGAAAAATCTCAGTTTCAAAGATACAGGGAAGCCACTCACTCACTCACCCTCACATTCCACAAACTTATCCCCCAAATACTAAACTATCTTCCTACTGTCTGAAACTGTGCCTAAAAAACATATAGGACTAACAAGACAGCAGCCCTCAATACACACAAAAAAATTAAAGCTACCCTCCAAGAATATGCATCAAAATCCAACAACAGTAATCAAATTGCAACATCATGGAGACGTGCCTGGACTGCACTGAACTACCTGATGAACAACAGGAAGTTGTTCATGCTAGTTATAAAAAATGTCCAGTTTGGTATTCTGACTTCAGTACATGGAAAGAAAATGCCCCAGCCCATAAAATGAACATCAGATTCATGAAGTCACAAATCTTAAAATGAAAACAAATGTACTGATTTCTCATAGTCTGATGATCTTAATTATTAACATAATTTAATTCCTCTGGGTTCAAATTTCAAGTTCAACTAATAACCTTATTATAAGTTACGGTCCCATGTATATTAATGCTAGGTTTTCAACCTCTCCTCTGCACCATAACTAAAGGGTTCCTGACACTGGTTAAGAATTATGGGCCTGGCTTGGTGCCTGTGGCTCAAGTGGCTAAGGCACCAGCCACATACACCCAAGGTGGTGGGTTCGAATCCAGCCCAGGCCCACCAAACAACAATGACGGCTGCAACCAAAAAATAGCCGGGCATTGTGGTGGGCGCCTGTGGTCCCAGCTACTTGGGAGGCTGAGGCAGGAG